GTTTCAGAGCCCGTCAGGTAGGACCACCAGTGTAGTGATCAGTTGGGAAGACAGAGATTGAAGTGACAGGTAATCCAACCCATGACCATAAGGTCCATATCTGAACTTGAGACCTTGCATACATGAGTGGAAGGAATTTATATCTTACTGACATTTTCATTAACTATTAAGTCCCTACTGCTTATAAAACAATTTGAACATATGAAGTGAAGAGGGATTTTTACTTTCAATATGAGCTTAGTCTTTTTGTTGGAGAATTAAGATGTGTCCATAACAATTCACACTCTTGGAATGAGCCACAGAGATTCACAAGGCAGTGTCATGCAGTATTCCTGTTCTTATTAGATGAGTGTCTGCTTAGTTTATTTGTGTCCATTCCTTTAAGAATCAAGTCCACATGGAGTTAGAGTTACAGGTGATTGTAAGTGTGCTAAGAATCAAACTCAGGTCCTCTGAAGAGCAGTAGTATGTGCTCTTAATCACTGAGCCATCTCTCCAGTTCCTCAAGCTTTTTAAAATGTTTCCACATGGTTTGGCCAGTGTTCTTCTAAAGTCAGTTTTAAGTTGTTGTCTATGGGAGCGGCCATGTCCAGATATGTGTCCAAATCCTCTTAAATTTTTAGTAGTTTTTCTGGTGGTCACCTCTTGTCCTCAGCTCGGTATACTGATTTTTAGTTCACTTTTAGACTTGTATTTGAAGTGTGTAGATTATTGATGCCCGAAATTATTGCTGATAAAGTTGTATTAACATCTACTATATTTGTTTTCTTTTATTCTTTTTTGTTTGTTTGTTTGTTTCTTGAGACAGGGTTTCTCTGTGTATCCCTGGCTGTTCTAGAACTCGCTCTGTAGATAGGCTGGCCTCGAACTCACAAAGATCCATCTGCCTCTGCTTCCTGAGTGCTGGGATCAAAGACGTGTGCTGTCACCACCACCCGACTCTGTTTTTTTTTAACCTTTGTTCTCCGCTCTTTCGCATTCCACGGTCTTTCTGCCTTTTGTGATTTTAAAGGAGCATTTTATGTGACTGTTTTCTTACCTTTGTTAGGACACCGGCTACACTTACGTTGTTGTTGTTGTTGTTGTTGTTCTCTTCAGTGGCTGCCCTAAAGTTTGCACTGTGCATTGACAACCAAGTCAAGCCCAGGTTCCTGTAACACTACTCCACCCGCTTTGTAGGCCGAGCAATTGACCTGTCCTACCAAAACAATCCCAGCTCTTCCTCCTGTCACTTGTATTATTTCAGGTTCACATTCAGACACACATATGCAACACAGGAGATATGTATATAAGCACACATAATTACTGTGGCTGTTATTATTTTAAACTGTCATCTGTTAGTAGCCAGAATAAAAGTTTTTACTTCACCTTAATTCATTCTTTCTTCAGTGGTTTTCTTTTCATGGAGATCTGAGTTTCTGCCTCATTTTCTTTCTTTCTAAAGAATTATCCCCCACTCCCCAGGCTAGTGATGGCACCTAGGACATTGTATTGAGCAAGGGTTCTGAGAAAGTCTCCTTCACTTTTGAAAGATAACCTCGTAGAGTACAAAGTATGAGTTGGGTTGGTTTTGTTGTTGTTTCCTTGTAGGTAGTGAATATTTTGCTTCTATCTGGTCGAATGCTTTTTGGTGATAGAAGAAACACAGCTCTCACACTAAAGAGAATAAGAGATGGTTTATTCTGGAGCCATTTTGAGTGACCATGGCCCAGGAGCCAGCAGTTTCCTGAGTTTTACAGAACATTGGTGGGTACATCAGAGAGGTGGGTACAGCAAGATGAGGGAGTCTTTTCTGTAGGCCTCAGAGGCTATCTGATGACATTCTTAGCTTTTGGGTTGGCGGAGGCCAATGGGTCTGCTAAGTCAATAGATTCCAAGTGTTAATCTATTACTCACAGGATGTTAGTGCAGACACACAGGTGTGGACAAGGTGGACTATCCAGGGGGCTATTGTTAGCCCAAGATAAGGTGACTTGCCTCAGGACCCGTATGACATTTTGGTCTTCCCACAGTACTGCAGTTCTGATCAGTCGTACAGTCTCTGCAGACAGTGTCTTTCCTGGAGTCCTTCACGTTTCTGAGAGTCGGATGTCCTTCATTTCCTTACTTTAATAAGATGGCTGTTCCCCCACTAGCTTCTTTCAGAATGTTGTTTCTTTGATTTGCTTTAACTTGAAAACGCATGTCTGAATTCAAATTTTGTTTGTTTCTATGCTTGTTTGTTTTTGCATTTATCCTGCTTGGTGTTTGCTGAGCAACCTGGATCGGAATGAACCTCCCGCCAAGAATTTGTGTCCGAATTAGTTAGTAGTTTCCTCTTTCAGAGCTTGGGATGGCTCCTTGAGTCTCTCACTACCATTTCCAGCTACTGCTTCTCTATGGTCTGCCATGTCTACACTTTCGTGGATACATGAGTTCTAGTGTCCAAGGCTCTGAGGAAGTGGGGGCAGTGGATGGTTTGTACTTCCTTTTGCCTCTGGGTAATTCCAGCTTCCACTGTCTTTGCTGAGGCTGTCTTTGTCCTTGTGGAGTCTCTACCTTGGCTTACTTCTAGTGCTTGTGCTCCCAAGCCACTTGCTTTGGGTGTGGGTAGGATAAGGTTTTCCCTTGAGGTAAGTCACTCTGGGATGATGGTAGAGTAAGACTCAGCCTTAGATTGCCACATTCCATGGCCTTGCAGCCAGCACCTATAACTACCAGTTTCTGGCCCTTCTATGACCCTTCCATCTTTTTCTGGCTCCCTGGGCCCTGAGTCCCTGTGTTGGGTGCCATACATTCTAGCCCAGCAGTTGGTGTCAGTGAACAGGCCCTGCACTAAATGGCTGCTACTCCCAGGGCTTCTTCAGTCGTGGAGGACTTTCCAAATCTCCCCTCCATATGCTTCTCCCCACATGCTTCTGCCCCTCCACTTAGCTGTTTTCTCTCTTTGGAGCAAACCAACTTGGTGTTGTTAACTGTATTTTCTTTTAAAGGAAAAAGACCTAAGATGAAAAAGTTTTGACTCTTCTTCCTTCATCAGGTCACACAGAGGCAGCTTCTAATCTGCCATTTTACACAGAAGTATTTTTTAAAAATAGTTGCATTGCTTCAAAATTAGAGGTTAAGAATTTTAAGTAATGGGGCTGGAGAGATGACTCAGCTGTTAAGAGCACTGGCTGCTTTTCCAGAGGTCCTGAGTTCAGTTCCCAGCACCCATGTGGTGGCTCACAGCCGTCTATAATGGGATGTGATGCCCTCTTCTGGCATAAAGTTGATAGAGCACTCATATACATAAAAGAAATCTTTTAAAAAAGAATTTAAAGAGCCGGGCGGTGGTGGCGCACGCCTTTAATCCCAGCACTCGGGAGGCAGAGCCAGGTGGATCTCTGTGAGTTCGAGGCCAGCCTGGACTACCAAGTGAGTCCCAGGAAAGGCGCAAAGCTACACAGAGAAACCCTGTCTCGAAAAACCAAAAAAAAAAAAAAAAGAATTTAAAGTATATTTATTTTAAATGCTTGTATTATTTCCTCTGGTAATATAGCTTTCAGATTTTGTAGAATTTATTGAGTAATTGTGTGAATGCTTTTACAGGGTATTGTATATGATGACATTGATGCTATTGTGTTTAACTTACAACTCTTGGGTTAAAAATACTGTATAGAGGGGCTGGGGATTTAGCTCAGTGTAGAGCGCTTGCCTAGCAAGGGCAAGGCCCTGGGTTTGGGCCTCAGCTCTGAAAAAAAAGACAAAAAAAATACTGTATAGATTATTTTTTAAAAATCACATCATTGAATAACTAAAAGTAGAATAAAGAAAATGAAGTTTCTTTGCAATTTTGAGGTTGGTAACTGGATAAACATTGGAAACAAGTGAATGTAAGAAAGGGGAGAAGAACAGATTATATTTATTAACTCAGGTACTGTCCTTTCTAACATAATCACGCATTTAAGGTCTTCAAGAGCTCATGAAATACAAAGGTTATTAGTACCCATTTTACAGAAAAATCACCTAAAATAATTTTCCTTGAGCCAGATGACTAGTGATAAGGGTCAGTATTTTTAATTCTAAATCTTTGGTGTTGTTGACTGTATTTTCTTTTAAAGGAAAAAGACTTAAGATGAAATGAATAGTGTGCTATTAGTATTATAAAGTAAAATAAAAGCACTACATTTGTGGTTGTACTGAGCAAGTGAGAAAGGCAGTATTGAGGAGTAATCTAAAATTCTCCATACTGGCCACATCTGGAGCATTTGTCGGGTACTGTTTAGCAGTGATGGACCCACTATTCACAAGTCAGGTTCACATTGCCTAGAAGTATTGTTGGTGGAGGTAGTTGTAGGGAAGATTATCTGTGTCCTTCATTGCAAGTTCTGGTTTTAAAAAGTAAGTAAATCTCCCATTTGCTTGTATTATTTGAGAGAGATGTGTTTCCAATGAGTGGAACTCAGAGAGCAATATGTATATTGATATGAAGAGATTTCTTGTTATTTGGGCTTAAGTGAATTGCTACTTAGAATTGAATTTTTAGCCTCAGCTACTTTGGGGGAATCTATGAAGTCTCTAAACATTGGCATAAAATTTTTCTTTTTGGAAATATAGCAAGTCAGCTTGGTCAGTATTTTTTTTATATGAATGGGAAATACTGATCTTAACATCTAGTGTGTGCATATATATATTTATTTATTTCCAGACAGGGTTTCTCTGTGTAGCTTTGGAGCCTGTCCTGGAACTCACTCTGTAGACCAGGCTGGCCTTGAACTCACAGAGATCCACCTGCCTCTGGGATTAAAGGTGTGCGCCACCACCACCTGGCCCTCTAGTATAAACTTAACAAAGTACGAAAAGTGTTTATGGATAGGTTATAATGAAATCACACAAAAATTGCAGTTTTCAAAATTTTAAATTCATGTGTTGGTAAAAAAATTTTAAATTTCTCCTCAAATATTAGTTATGTCTGAAATACTGAACATTTTATACCTTACAGTTAGTCCTCCATTCACGACCTTCTTTAATGCCCGTAGGTTATTGAGTCCCTGGGAATTATTATTTATAAAGCACTGGACTATGGCTTGAAGGAAAATGAAGAAAGGGAGCTGAGCCCTCCTCTGGAGCAGCTCATCGACCAAATGGCCAACACTGTGGAGGCTGATGGTAACACCGATGAGGGGTATGAGGCTGCAGATGAAGGCCTGGAAGATGAAGATGGAGAAAAGAGAAACATCTCAGCTATTCGGTCCTATCAAGATGTCATGAAGGTAAGCCATAGTTCACTTAGTGTTTGTCCCTCTGTGAGTCATTATCTCATCGTTTAAAAGAGTGGCCTAGTGACTCAGCATTTGACAACAGTTCAGACTGCCTGCAGCCTGGCTATGTCTTTTGCTGGGTCCTAGCTCTTGGCCACTTGTAGGTGTGTTAGGTGTTGATCATCTTCCTGTCACCGCAGCCTGCCTGGGCATGATGCTGTCAGC